GTCTTAGAGGCTGGGGAAGGGGGAGAAAAGCATTTACTGTTTTGTTCTGTGTTCTCTTTTCCCTCCTTGGTACCTGAATTAATGAAATGAGGTTAGTGTTAATTGGCGATAAATCAGCTTAGATTGCCCTGAGATGAGACTGTTTTCCCTGGGACAGTAGCTGTTTGACAGTGCCCTGTCACAGCCCAGAACTGGAGTACTGAGAAGGACTCTGGAAGGAGCCATGATCCTTCCATCATGTGGTGGTGGAAGTGGTGCTGCTGGTGTGTGTCCAGGGGTGAGTGCAGACAGTGTGCAAACAGCTGGAGAAAGGAGGGACTTGGGGACATCATTGCTGGGTGGGAAGGTGATGGGGAAGAGAGAGGTGCTCACTCCAAGCCCACGTGGCCTGGTATAGTGCTGCCTCCATATGTAGGATCCAAAAGCACTGGCCAGGGAGCTGCAGAGGGGTTGGCTGTAAAACATGGAGAGAGAGGTGTGTTGCTGTGATGCCGCTGTGCGCTGGGGCTTGCCATGTGTTGCAAATGGGTCTTCAGAGAGGCCAGGGCCACGTAGCAGAGCGAGGGAGTCAGGCTGATGGTCTTTGTTAGAGTAATGTGCATTAACAAGTGCTCAGGGCAAAGGGGAGGCCCTTGGTCAGAAGTGAGCAGTAATGCCGAATTGGCCAGATGGAAAGCTGTGGGCCAGGTAGGCAAGGCTACGCTTGCAGGGGCATTGAGTAGTCTTAAAGTGGTTGCCTCAGAGGGGGAAACTGAGGACTGATGGCAAAGTAAAAACAAAGCCCTTTCAGACAGCCTGAATTGCAAGGTTAAGTAGATCTCTGGAGATGGGAGTGCTGCTCCCCAGAGTGTGAGCGCCCTCTTGACAGTCTTTTGCTCAGAATGAAACTACAGAAATGCTGAACGCTTGCAGCAACTGGTGTTCCTGCAATGGCTGTGGCGGTGCTGGGGAGCCGGAGCAAATGGGATACAGCTTTTTGTCTTGGAAGAGCAGAGTTCTGAGGAGTTTGGGCTCTATGCCACTTGCAAGCACTGCCCTGCACAAGGGAGGAAGGCTTTAGGATCTTCTAGCAAAGGGCTTTGTGGAGCAGTGGCTGAATCCTTCTGGTCCCACAGATGAGACAACCCCACGGAGGGACTGGGGAGGAGGTAATCGACTGCTGTTGCTTGGGCTGTTGGATTATGTTTACAGGCAAGGGGGAAAGGACCCTGAAAAAGTGGCGATCACTGACGCTGTGGCCTGAAAGCTCTGAGGTCTGAGCACAGTTACTACCGCCCCTCTGGTATCGCCTGATAAGCTGGTGGGATGTCAAGGAGCGATTTACGTGTATTGTGCTGGAGGGAGCATGCCAGAAGGCAGGCAGGAGATTAGCAGCACGGCCAAGGATAATGCTGGGAGTCCAGTAGTATGGTTGACCATGGAAAAAGTTTTAGAAGGGGTTGGAAAGTATATGTCAAGATTGTTTCAGTGTTGTTCCTGATAATTTTGTCTGCTGGGAAGGGGTGGGTTTGTGATGTGTGTTACATTCACACTGGTGAGATGTTAACTACACTAGTCTGGTCTGCAGGGACAAGGGATGGAGTTTATAATGAATGTACATTAAGATTGTGATGATGTTAAAGGTAGAGTTTATGTAAAGGTGAAACAATTCTTAATATAGCTTTCAATGAGGTGAAGGGTGGAATGTAAAGGACATGAATTGCGGGGGGTATCAGGAGATGGCAGTGGTGTGACTGTGTGAAGACCATGAACTGCTCAGTGCCAGCCAGAACCAATTCCAGCTACCTCCAAAACCGATGTAAACATCCTGTCTCATTCCAGAATTCATGCCCACGGTGCCCTGGCTCAGACACGCTGTTGGAAACATAGGTGCACTCCTTGAAGGAGGTCCATGCTGAAAGGGTTTACTTCTGAGGGGACTGCAGCTGGTGGATGAGCCATGCTGGAGCAAGGAAACTGCTGAAGGTGCTGTGGTCAGTGGGTGACCTGTGCTGGAGAAGATTTACTACTGAAAAGACAGCGGTCTAAATCTTTGGCTCTCCCTGCACCATAGAAAACATTGTACCTTTATTGTTCGATACAAATATGTATTTGGTCTCAGCAGAGCTGTCTCACCTCAGCCTTGGGATTGCTGAGGGTTTTATGGTTGCAAAACAAATGTTCTTGGATTACGTGTTCAGGAATTGAAAGTGGAAATTTTGGAAAGAAGGTCTTAAGGTGCCTGTTGAACAAAGGTTTTACTATTTTCCTATGAAACCCAATGTGCAACTTTATGTGTTTTGTCTCCCACCCAGTAGGAGGAAACTGAAAGGTAACACAGCTGCAAAATCAAACACCTCCTTATCTCACCTGGTGTTGTTAAAGGAATCTTGATTGTTTTGATAGCTTGAGCGTCAGGTGAAAAGGAGTTTTGGGAACTGACTCCTTGAGACCTACTCTGCATGTGCCCTCTGCCAGACAGGCTCCAGAATGGGTGTCTGTGCACACAGGGGTGTGCGGGGAGCTCAGGTGCCCAGCTCTGCTGTCACTGGGTTACTGGGACTTGTGGCTCTGCACCGTGCCCTCTGGTGCCGGGATCTGCCAGAGGCAGGGAGGCCAGAGGGGTTGATGGGCTCAGGCCCTGCTGCTCCCCAGTGGGGTGAGCAAGCCCCTGGTGCTGTGGTGCAGTTGGAGGGCTCAGGGCCCCCAGCTGCCACCCTGGGGCTGTGGGGCCAGGGCAGTGGTGGGAGGGGGTGGCTGGGTTGAAGGGGGCTTAGTTGGTTGGAGCCGGATGGGCCATCATCCTTGAGTGCCTGTCCTGGGCTGGGTGCCCTGGGCTCAGGGCTTTTGGTGCCGCCAGGGGAATTGACCCCCGAGGCTGGCAGGGCCGGTGGGGAGACGGAGGGGCTGAGCCTCCCGTGCCGGGGGCGGACACCCGGGTTGTGTGGCCTCTGAAACGGTCCCCAGCACGGCTGGGGGCGGCGGGGGGCTGGTGGCCAGCAGGGAGGGGGCAAGGCGGGTCTCCCCTGAGGGCTGGCTGCCCTCTGGTGCCCGCAGGGGAAAGCGCCGGGTGGCTCCGTTGTCCCGGGAGGATCCGTGTCCCCGAAGTGCAGGTGACTGCAGCCGACCTGGGCGTACAGCACCTTTGCTTACAGGAGAGAGGGGGTGTGAGGTTTAGAGAGCCTAAAATGAGCAAGTCGGGTCTGAGCTGAGGGCAGCTCCCACCACGGGTGTGGTGGATGGCGCTGAAGGCTGCTGTCTCCTTCAGCCCAAATCTGCCTTGGCTGTGGCTGCGTCTGTGGCTTAGAAGTTGGCCCTGAGGTGGTACCTGAAGTTAGGGGAGATGATTCCTGAGCAGAGAGACTTCAGCAGCCGCCTGTGACTTAGGTGCAAAGGCCAAGGACAGGTCTGCAGCTGTGTGTCTGAAATACAAAGCACATCTTAAAAACAGAACAGCAAGTAAATAATTTTTTTGTTTGGCTGTGGGAGGCTAACGCCTATTAGTTCTGTACAGAAGCACTAAAACTACTTGTACTGCCTCCCTCTGCCACATTTTATTCCTGGATCAGTAGGTTGTATATTACCTTCTTTTGGAAGTTTTAGTCTGAAAAAAATTAACAGTTTTATCTGCAACAAGCAGAATGTCAAACTCAAAAATCAAGGAGCTAGTAAAGAACAAACTCAGTTTTTAAAGTCAAATAGTATTGGTGGTCCAGCATCCTGTCTCACTTTTAACTATAAGGTCTGGGCAGGACTATAAATGGTCACACTTTCACAACAAAAGATCTTTTTGATCAGGCAGGAACTTCTTATTTCATTGCATTTAAATATTAGTTTTCTCAAATATGGAGACTTAAATGAAATGGCAGGTGCATGTTGGGGTTTGTGGATTTAGGTTGTTTTTTTTTTTTTTCCTTGTTAATTTTCCACATAAGGATAGAATTTCACAACTAGCAATAATCTGAAGCATGTGTTGAAATTGTGTTGTATCCAAAGCCCACCATGCTGTTGTATTCTGATCCATAGGAGAAAGCCTGTATAAAAATACTGCCAAGCATGCATCTGTATGTTTTCTGCATATGGATTTTTTTTTTTTTTTAAGAAAGTGATAAGTAGTAAAAAACCCTTTCTCAGTTCTGGAGTGGTAAAACTCCTGGTTGTCTCACTTATCCTAAGGAAGATAGTCTTTAGTTCACATTTCTCAAGAGTTTTTTTTCAAGTGCTCACAACAGCTGACTGTCCTCTTTAGCCTGTTGTGTTGATGCAAGATAGAGTATAAATGTAAATGTGTAGTTCAAAGTCTCTCCCTGTTTTCTGCTTAATAATTCCACATTTTGGCAGAGACTTATTACAGCCTACATCTTATTCTTTAGAACAATTTTAGTGTATCCTTCTTTCAAAAAAGAAACAACAAGAAAAATAATCACTGAATACGTATCCTGTGACTTCATTGTCTGCAGGAGGAGAGATGTAATAAGAAAGCTAGATAAATTGATAGGAAGCATATCAGACCATACACATGCCAGCTGTTGCAAGATGCTTGGTGAGTGCTTAGTGTTGCATCTGCCACTTGTGAAGGATGCATCTTTCTGTCCTATTCCAAGACTTTCATACTTCACTTAATCAGCTAAGTCTTTTGAAATCCTGATGACCAGTTTTAGGCAAGGACCACTGAATTAACAATGGAGCAACATTGCTTGTGGACACCAGGACTATTTTCTTAACAGTGCTTGCTCTACATATACCATATACCAATTCAACTGCAATCTGCAGACTAGGAGACACCATGTAAAATGACTGCTCAGATTATCAGTGTAGTGTTTCCAAAAACTGTTCACTTCTGCTCTCCAACTATAACCCTAAGTTTAGCACTCAGTGAAGTGTACATAAACAGAGATAAAAAGCCCAGTCCTCTTGTCTGAGGAGGACTTGGGAAGGTGAGAAAGGATCACTGCTTGCTCTGCAGGGGCAAGGCACACCACCCCTGAAGGGCAGCACCCAGCTCACTCCTAATCACCCACCTTGAAGTTCTCCACAATGCGCTGTGGTGTGACAGACTTGGGAATTGCAATGACATATCTCTGGACCTGGAAGCGAAGGAGAACCTGGAGGAACAGACAACTGAGTCAGAGAGAGGACAGCTTCTGCTCTGGAGGAAGCGGAGCCTGTTCCAACAGCTGTTTTCCCTAAGCTATACCCGCTTCTGCAGAGCTGCATTTCAAATCCTTCCTGTCCCTGTGGCCCAGGTAGCACTTCATGGAGAGCAGAGAGGGGAGTGGTGGAGCCTCACATGGAAGGCCTCCTTTCCCATCCAGTTTTGGGATCATCAAGTCTTTTCCTTCCCACCTGGACTTTTATCAAGGTTTCCTTCTCTGCCACAGAACTTAGGATGGGAAGACTGAAACATGCCAGCATCTGAAGCTGGGTCAAGCAAATGTTTCTCGTTGACACCCAAAGAGCCCTTGCAGGCATGCATTGCAGGCCACACAGTAAACAAACCTGCAGTGCTCCTTAACACCACAGAAGAGCACCACAGGTGACAGGGAATGAAGAGCCAGCCTGTCCTTTACATTGTCATTAGCTGTCCCCTGTGCTGTGTTACAGGAAGGGCTACCCACTGTCTGGCACCAAGGTACCTGTGCTGGGGTTTTGTTGTGCTTGGCTGCAATCTCTTTGATCTTGGGGTCATCCAGAAGGGAAGGATCCTCTGGCTTCGCCCTACGCAGAGGAAAAATAGCAACAGAAATCTCTATCTAGATGAAGGATTAATGGTGCACTTGTAGTCTCAAAGTCTCAAGCATAACCCATGCCAGCTGCCTTGCACAGCACAAAGCAATCTTACCATGGCCTGTCAGGAGAGCCAAGCGGACTGTATGCGGTCACAGCAATCCCTTTGGATTGACAGTACTTGATCAGCTTCTCCTGGGTAAGGTATGGATGACATTCAACCTGCCAACACAGGAGTACAGACATTGATAGCAATGCAACTGCTGTAACTCACTCCAGGGATTATCTCCTAATGTACTTAAAGGTCAATTTTTGTGCTCATGTGCCAGTCTTTGTAAACTATTATTCAGCCTTAGTTTTGTACAGCACTTACTTTTATGGTAAGGCTTCTTGCATCTCTGAGTCTTTGCTTTGGGGAAAGAACATTTCATAAGGCTCATCTTTGGGTTCTTGTGGCCTTAGAAGGCATGTTCTGAGGTGCTTCTCTGAGTTTTCTTATCAGTAGTTTACCAAATATTGAAAACCCCAGTGCCTTGTATATTCAGTAGCAATGTGGAGTGGGATTAGAAGGACATGCTGCATAGCCCAAAGCAAAGCAGTGCAACTCAAACTTGCAGCTGGGAGGCCTGATCTTAGTGCTAGGTCTGCATCTCCAGCATCAAAAGGGCAGAGGACGCTGTGCAAGCAGCCGTCTCAGGGGCAGAGATCAAGAGCCTGGCTCACGTGGCCAGAGTAAAGCTGAATGAGCAGCACCGGCGCAGTGCCGGTGCACACAACAGACACATGCTCTTTCTGGACTGGAGCAGCGGTAGTGCTGCAAGCGTTACTGGCAGTTTTGAGGAGGTCTCCTGGAGGGAAAGCCAAGGGTGTTGCTGTTACTGTACCTTGAACGCAAGAGGCCAATGCATGAGGTAGAGATCCAGGTAATCCAGTTTCAGGTCAGCAAGAGTCTTCTGGCAGGCTCCCTTCACCAGAGGCTTTTCATAAAATGTGCACCACAGCTAGAGACAAAAAGCCAAGGCACACTGTGACCTCCTGCGTTAAAGCTCTTGGAACGCTTCTGTCCTCTTCTTGAGAGGAGAGTACCTGTATCCTTCGCAAGGCTATGTGGAATTAGGCCATTCAGTTGCTCTTCAGTTGGGGCTGGCTCTGTGAGCCAGACTGGCTGATGGCCAGTGATACCGAGGGCAGTATGTGCTGTGGTGGCATATGTGATCAAAGAGAGTTGTAAACTGAAAAACGGATCCCGTTCCATTAGTTAAGACATGTAAAGGCCACTTATTACAAGCAGATATGGGTTTAAGTCAATAATTTCAGTGGTGAGGCAAATACAGGATTTCCTGCATAAGCAGGGGAGAAAAACCAGCACACTTTCTGGCACCATTTGAGCTTAATGGACAGTGCCATGAACATGGAGAATGTGGAGCATATCTTAGATAACTCCTTATAAATTAAGGTGACCAAAAAATCTTCCATCAGTATAGACTTGAACTATGCTCTGAATTACTACTCCGTGCTATAGCACACAGCCTTTTGCCACCACTCTGAATTTCCTCTGATGAACATGTTCTACAAAGCAGGCCTTCCCCTGGATTCTAGGTCAGCAGATCCTCACCTTACTGACGATATGAAGGGGTCTTCTCATTTCACAACGCCTTCCTTGATTTTCTGCTGGATCCCTTCCCCAACTCTACTTTCATCCTGGTACACGTACACATAGGCAAAGTGGTGGTACCCAGCATCGATGGTAGCCATCACTGCAGCTGTTACTTGCCTGGCTGAGGACTGAAAAAAGAAGGTTAAGATCCCAAATCAAAGCACACAGGCCATTTCCTAGTAATCTAAAGAGTAAAGAAACACATACAAAGGGGTTTTAAGAAAGCATCTTCCATGCATTGTTCTTAAAGCTATATTCATCTTACAAAGGCAGCCTCCAGCCATTTATCTGTCGGCCCACTCCAACAACCAGGTAGGGCAGAAACTCCAAGACCATGACAGTTCTCCAGAGCTGGACCAGGAGGAACTGAGTTTTGTGCCAGGGAGCTCTGCAGCGCTTCTTGCCCAGCACTCGTCGCTTCCCAGTGCTGTGTCTGAGAAGAGAAACATTCACCCACTGTCCATCTGGGAGAATTTAGATGGAAAGGGCAGTGGTCTACACCTTGGTCATCCATTATCACTGTGGAGCACTGTACCATGCTGTAGCCCAGCTTCTCCCCTGGGCACATCCCACCTGTAATTTGAAGGTTACATCAAGTGCTTCCTTCAGAGATGGAAGAGAGGTGCATTTCTATGTGTTTCTGTATCCTGAAAGGGCACATAAGGGCTGTGCACAAAGAGATGTTGGTGTATCTTGTGGATACAAATCCAGTAATGTTTGTTTTCAGGCACTATACAGGTCACTGATTTTGCAGGCATCCTGACAGTGGTGCGAATCTCTTAGTCAGAACTTGCTTGAAACGCATGAATTGTCTGCATCTTATTACCAGGTGATTTCAAGTAACCTCACCCTGGATTTAAGTCATTCAGCACAGAAGCAGGAGGCGAGCCAAGTGCCCACCTGCAGCAGCATGGGAGCCTCCGCGGTGGGGAGGGATGGGGAGCAGCAGGGAGAGGGGCTCAGGAGGTCACTGCAGCTGCAGGAGCCTGGCTGGGAGGGGTGCAGGAGGCAGGGGACCACCGTCTCACGGACTGGAGAGGCCCAAGAGTACAAGCATTAGTTGGGAGTGTAATGGTGCATTTTCCTCTGGGTGCCTTTCCCACAGCAGATGCCCACCTGCTTTGGAGCTTTGTGCTTTTTGTTCCGCTTACCTGAGGGCAGCCAAGGTAATTGGTTGTCTCTTTAATCTTCCTCCCTTTTTTTGTCAGCACCATCAGCCATCTTCAGCAGACAGTTACATTACAAAACAGTTATATAATGCAGTGTTGGCCTTTTAACTTTTTTCTGGATTTCTTCACTGTAAATCTGCTCTGAGTATGCTCGGACTCTTGGGGTTTGGTTCAGGGGTCAGTGAAATCAATGGAAAGATCGTGATAATAGGAGTTCTGTTGACAGTATTAGAAGCAAGCTGTTTGCACGAGAGGCCTGCTGCCATCCTAGTTGAGGGGTTTTCACACTTCCTTTTTTCCTTCCTGTTGTCCCTCTCAGTTCAGGGAAATGGACACCAGCCATCTGCAGAGCTTAGGAAAGCTCCCTGTGCCAGTCGTGTCATTGCGTCTGGCGGACATTCTTGCTGAGCCCTGCTGATGGTGGGCAAGGGACTGCAGCTAAGGTTAGCAGAGGTGCAGAGCTGGTGCACAGCGTGAATACTGTTGGGGAGGTGGACTACATGGTGTCAGCTGGGCTCAAAGGGAACAGTTTTCCATGCCTGACCTCTGTCTTGGTCTTAATTATTAGCAGAAGTCATGTGGAGACTTGTCCTGGCAAAGATTGTCTTCCTCCACAGAAGTCACCCTGTTTTGAAACATCAGTGATCACCTGCACTGTTAGTAGGCTGTCCCGTGCTGACTTTTATGCAATATGCATTTCACAGGTTTTTTTTTTTTTTTTGCAAAATAATGTTGAGCTCTGCCTGTGATTTGCTTTTTCAGGGCAGCCTGAAGACCAGATGAAGCACCAGTTTGCCTCTGCTCTCCTTTGCATTTTCTGGATGCTCGAGCTTGTTGTGCTGACGCTTCATTAATATCAACAGTGTTTGCTTTGACTCCAGATGTTGTGGTTTCGGTGTAGGAACTTCCAGAATCAATCAGATTTTGTACTGGAGCAGCACCAAGGTGAACTGGTGTCATGAGTTGTGCTCTGCGAGTCTGTGGAAGCTTGCAAAGCCGGGCTGTTTGGCCAGTAAGAGGGGATCTCCTATAAGAAGGGGCAGAAAACCCTGCAGGGTTTGTTCTCATTCTTCTGAGCCTGTCTTTTTGGGGAGAGGTTTCAAAGCCCTGTGTTCCCTGTGGCTAGGAGCTGGGTAGAGTGCGTGATGGCAGATAATGAGACTTGGAGAGCACAGCTGAGAAATGCAATTTGTCCTCCCTCTCAGTTTCTTCTGAGATTTTTGTGTTACTTCCTCTGCGAACTCATGTTGTCCTGTGAAGGTGGGTGCTTGGTTTTCCCCAGTGGTTTCTTGAATGAGAGATGCCTGGGTCTTTTTAAGAGAGGATTTTGGGCAGAAGGTTTGTGCTTTGCTTTGCTGTTTGTGCCTGTTGGTGTGAGACTTTCTGCAGATCATGCCCAGACATGAGAGCTGTCAGTTGTTTCTCTGTCCTGAAGGTATGGCTGGGGTTGTCAGATGATGGTAGGGCCTTTGGGAAAGAAGTACCACGTGTGTCAGTGGATGACAACTAGTCTGAGAAATACCGCGAACTACATGCTTGATAAAATGCCCAAGGGTTCCTTGCTTAAGATGAGAAGCTGTGTCTGCGAGGAAGGGTCTGATCTGACCTGTATGCAAATGTCTGCACTACAGCTGGATGCTTATCGTAGCACCTTTAAGGTTTGTTGTGTTGATATTTGCATGTAGTAATTCTAATTCACCAAAAATCATAGCTTCAAGAGATGAGCAGTGTTTGGCATCTGAGAAGAACAAGACTCAAAATGAGCAAAGTAGGTAGGTCCCAGTGGAAACGATCTTTATCGGTAAGAAGGCTGCCTGGGTTGCTCCAGGCTTGCAATGACAGAAAAATTCAAGCCTCCCCTGAGGGCTGGCTGCCCTCTGATGCCTGTAACCACATGGTTTTATTGCTGGGAATTGTTCCAGAAGGGGTTCACATCCATTAAGTGCAGGTGACTGCATCAGACTTCACCTCTGTTAACAGAAAAGGGAGTGCATTTGGTCTGGAGAGCCTAAAGAGTGGGCCAGAGCCAAGAGAGCCCTGGGCGTAATGAATCGCACTGAATGCTGCTGCCTTGTTTTGCCCAAACATCTCTTGGCTGTGACCAGAACTTGAGAGGCTGGCCCCGAGATGGCTGCTTGCACCTACACTGTGGATTCCCACACTTAGGTGAGGTAAATTCCCCCAGAAAGACTGCTGCATGTGATCTGGAAGTAAAGGACAAGTTTGGCCAGTGAAGAATGCTTCAAATACAGAAATGTGTTTAAAAAACCCTGCACAATAACAACCCACAAACACATCGAAAGAAAAACCAAAGGGAAAGCACTGCCCCTTGTCAACTATGATTCTTTTGTTTGCCTATGATAAGCAATTTTTAGCATCAAATTTGTGCTCTAATACCTCTTCCATATTTTTTTGCCTCATCTTGAGGTTGCATGTTACATTCTTTTGGAAGTTTTGGTTGGAAATATTTGGATGACATCCATCTGAAAAGTATATTAGATACATTCTGAGGACTTGTATATATATTTTAGAATATCTTATGTAATCTCAACATATCAGTGTACTGATACAAATATGTAAAAAGCAAAAATGTGGGTTTTTTCCTGTTGGAATGAGTGAGAATAAGTACTAACAACACCTGAACGTGTAATGTTATCTGTGGTCCATTGTCCCGTCTCTCTCATAACCCTAACACTCAAGCCAAAAGTGCAAGTCTTGTTCACACCTCCTTTGAAAACAAAAACTTTTCTTTTTAGTCACATAAAAAGGCTAAGTTCTTTTTGCATTTGTTATGGGGTAAGGGAGCACCAGGCAACATGACACTGCTAAGCTGAATTCACCAAGTTGACCAATGGAGGAATAGCTTGTCAGGGAGAGTGTTACATATGCACAGAAGGAGTCTTGGTATGTATGAGCTATGGATGGGAAAGTGACAGGAGAACAATACCTGGAAGTATTCACAAGGTGTAGTATTATGCATCCCTCATCTACTACTCCATTGAGTCAGTGTGGTCTCACTTGGGGGGAAATATAACACTCAACTCTGACCTGCCCTAGTGTCAGGCTCTGGGCCATGGCTCAGCACTAACACATTCTATTACACCTTGTCCTCATCATTTTGGGTATCTGCATAGTGATGTTTCCCCATAGTCTGTTTTATTGTGGGTTTTCAAAGGTAGACATAAGCACATGCTGGCAGCCAGATCAGTCCACATATCACCATATAGCTTTCCAGCACTTCCAGGTATTGTTCTCCTGTCACTTTCACATCCGTAGCTCACATGTACCAAGACTCCTCACACAATTCTTGTTTACACTGGCTGGTCAGCCACGGTTCATCATATTTAGTTATTCTACTCCTGATCAAGGCAAGATCTTGATTCTTCTGTGACATTTGACCTCCCAGCCTTTCTGTCATGTATCAAAAATCTTTTGTACATGCACTCACACTTACAAACTAACGATGTGCACTGCAAGGAGCTCAAGCTTGTGTAAATGTATTCACTTGTTGCACACTAAATTACAACAAGTTAGTATGGCACAAGCAGTAAGTCAGTTAGCATCACATTTTAGTACTATTGACCCTTACACAAAAGCAGGTTTGTTAACCATGTCCTTCTCAAGGAAGTTTCTGGACCACCCAGTTGCTCAAGATACAACTCAAACCTCATATACTTTTGTCAGACCCTACAGCTTGATCTGGCATGGATGTTCTAGATCAGAGTGCAGCAGTGGTACTGCAGGGGCCCCGTGTCCACCAGCCCAAGGCACATTGCCCTTACAGAGCCCTCAAGTGCCCTGCTGCTGAAACACCTCCTACCTATCCTAGCGCTGCCCAGCAAGGCTCACCTGCATCCTCCACCACGAGGGATAGGCTTTGCCAGGCGAAAGCTTTACTCACACATGTAGTTACAGTTAACAGAGCCCTG